ATTTCTCACACACGAATATATGTTTCTTTGCAGCGTGGCAGACCGATATCACTGGTCGCCGATCCACAAATATTAACGTTTTTAACGTCGTTACGACGGGACAACGTCTTTCACTGGATATTACGATAACGATAACGGTCGTTGACCCGAATATTTTCCACGGGATAACTGGCCGGAAATACCGCACTCGAAAATCTATTACAGCCTTGCACGCTGTACTTTACTCGCCCGAGCAAAGGAATGAGGACAGAAGGAAAAAGGGAAATCGGTAGCAAGCCGGATCATTTCACGATAATGGCGGCACACGATGAGAATCCCACTTCTGAACTGTAATTTAATTAATTGATTGTTTTGTTGACGCACCGGTTATACCGGCACTGACCGCGAGTTATTTCACGGGGAGATGTCAGGAAAAGGATGAAGGAAGGTGCAAGACGATATTCAATGTAATTCTGGAAAAGGTAACTTTATATCTCGAGAGATGCATAAAGACGCCTACTCGGTCCAGCGTCAAGCATCGACTGACTCTTCTTCTTCGCTCTCCGCCAATCCAGGCGTTTCTTCTTGCGCAGAGCGCCACGGCGCACACCAGTATCTCAAGCGACCAATCACATCACACAGTCTTATTCAAGCACGGCGCAACGTTAATCTTACAATATATTATCAAATATGACTGAAATTACGAGTTTAGAGCAATTACTTTATTTTATAATTTTTCACAAATTTAATTTTTTTAAGTTAAATTCAGGGCAAATTCACTGTCAAAAATTATTTTGTCGAAATTTTGTTTAAGAAAAAAATAGTAGTAACAGTTATTTACAGTCACTAAATCTACATTTTTTACATTCAATTAGACTTGTAACTATTTGTATACATTTTTTTGTCTTTGGATCTCTAGAAAATTAATATCAGTGTTTTTAAGATTTCCATGACTTTTGGCTGGATCTGTCCCTATAGAACATCCTTAATCTTTGGTGTTCCCATTTGTTTAATAAATGGATACACGATTAATTATCCTCAAAGATTGTTATAGGCTTTTCCGTTATTTGCTTTAATTGGATGAGTAGGTTGAGAATCCATACTATCTCCGTCGATGCAGTGGCGAGTGCCACGTACTCCGCCTCTGTAGATTAAAAGGCTACTGTAGATTGCTTTCTTGTTACCCAACACACAGGGGCTCCATGGACTTCAATTAGAAAACCAGTTGTTGATTTTCAGTCGGCATCACCAGCCCAGTCGGAATCTGCATAGGCAATTAATCATGGGATTTCATTCTTTAGAAAGTAGATACTCATATCAATTGTACCCTTTAAGTATCTGAGTATTCGTTCTAATTGTCGCCAAATTCATTTGAGAGTTTGTAGAACGAATTTAAGAAGTGAAACTTAAAATCATATTTTTGACTCAAAAAAATTGCCACCCTTAATATATATATATATATATATATATATTAGAGCTCGGAATACCCGGGTATCCGGGTACCCGCCCGTTCGCCCGTTACCCGTTGTATACGGATCTGGACCGGTTCCGCGGGTACCCGGGTAATTCGGGTAGCGGGTACCCGTATCGATTCGGGTACTCGCTACCCGTGTCAATACGGGTACTTGTTATACCCGCGTCAGTACGGGTACCCGTATCGAGGCGGGTATAACAGCGTATGCCACAAATATCTGCGCGGCGTATTACACGGAGACGCGTATACGCAAAGTAATAAAATATAAATTCTCACACGCTTCAAAAATATATTAAATATATGAAAGAATGCTTTTATATTAACCCTTCGTTTTTTCGATACCTTCTAGTGCATACGTGAGTCTGTCATGTTCAACGCTCCCTACCTTAAAGTATTTTAAAAAATCTGAAAAAATTTATAAAACATCTGTCTACATTGTAGTTGACAATTTTATAATTTTTTGATAACCATTTGTTTATTTAATATTTGATTTTTAATGAACTTTCAATAATATTAGCAAAATTATTACTTATAAAAAAGATATTACGTCTAGTGCATACATGGGTCTGAGACGTCCGTGCGAGACTTAAGGGGATGCTGGAGCCGTCTGTTTTACCGGCATTTTCTGTCGGCACGTAGCGTCGTATTAATTTGACAGAATTAAAAATCCTTCTCCAGAATTGCAGTACATACATTAATGATTCGGGGAAACTCTGATTTTATATAGAAAACGAGAAAAAATTACGGAAGTACAGATTTCCTTATCCTACTTTTATCCCAATATGGCGTCTCGAGTTGCGGCGAGCTGTCAGCTCGTCACAAGATGTATTTCATATAAGAGATATACCATTGGTACGAACGCGAAAACAAGTTCCCCCGAATTGCACAACAAGAAAAACATCGATAAACCCTCCAAATCAAGATTTGGAAGCGTAATATAAAAGTATAATGTCGACGTGCATCGTGCGTATGTGTGCGTGCAATGTAGCGTGCTATCCTTGTCTATATCTTTGTCTATACAAGGACAGATATAGTTCGCCGGTCTTCTTTACCGACGCCGATCGAGTTCGGCTACGGCTCCAGCATCCCCTTAACTTGCTCGGTATTCGGCGATATATTGATCTTTCGTAACAGCTCTGGGTCCCTCTTGAGTCCCTTTTCTCACTTGCTTTTTTAGAAATGGAGGCAGGCTTGCCAGTTTTACAGTTACGAGCAGATATTATTTTGGCTCGGACGCCGTAGACTCACGTATACGGAAGGTTAAATATGCATTACACATTATGTGGATAAATAGCTATATGTGTGTAATTATATTTGAAATTTCTATAAATTGCTTTACGTGTAATTTTATATATTTTCTTATTTTACATGCATATATATCTTTTTAAAACCAGTAATATAATTATATATGATATAATACTATCATTATTTTATACAGAGCGCCTTGGGTTTTACCCGATAAACTGCGGGAGCATATTCTACAAGTGAAAATAAGAAAAAAATATTATATGAAGTTTGGCTAGATATTTGTGGCATACGCTGTTATACCCGCCTCGATACGGGTACCCGTACTGACGCGGGTATAATAAGTACCCGTATTGACACGGGTAGCGGGTACCCGAATCGATACGGGTACCCGCTACCCGAATTACCCGGGTACCCGCGGAACCGGTCCAGATCCGTATACAACGGGTAACGGGCGAACGGGCGGGTACCCGAATACCCGGGTATCCGTTTCTTTTTCCGAGCTCTAATACATATATATATATATATATATATGGGACGTTTCACGTCAACCAAATCACTTGTCTGCCCAAAATTTGAAGCAACCTACAAAGACGTTCGATAGCTCAAAAAATTAGTCTTTACTAGTGCTTTCGAAAGTCATGTGTCCCGTTTTAAAATCCAAGATGGCTAATTTAATATGGCGGCTGAAAGCCTGAAAATTGGAGAAAAATCTACATAATTTAACGTAATCATGTTTTTATTGATTCGGTTTTGAAATGGTTTGGTAAGGAGTTTTCAGTATCTGTGATGTTGACTCTGGGAGCTAGTTGAAGTTTGGAACGTTCCTGGAGCGATTGAAGTTTGGAACGTTCCTGGATTTTTTAAAAATGATTTGTTCCATTTCTCCTTTGGCACAGAAACATTTTTGAGTGATAAATACGAAATACATAAGAGACCAAACCGATACACCCTGCGAAAGACACCCTTATACTCAAAAAACCTACCCCCGGACCACTTTAAATA